TTATGAACCTTCTAAATCTCTATACATTGCCTTACATTTGATTTGATTATAATTCGTATTAAATTTCAATATGTTCAATATTATTCGAAAGAAAAATATAGCGCTTTATCATTTTCAATTAAACAATCTTATTAAGCATAACTTATCATAAATAATCACGTTTACACTGGTACTATATGAAAAGACGGGGAGGGGATGATATGTATTATTCTATAATCAATGAATTGAGCTAAGTGATTTCAATTGTGTCTACATCCTCTCGTTTTATGTAAATTGAAGCTGCTTCCTGCTTCCTGAAATAAATTTACAATTCAGTCAATCTTGTTACGTTGATCTTTGATTAATCATAATATTTCAATGTTGTCATTAAGCAATAATATTAATCGACAAAAACTTCGATATTGGCGTCCGAATTAACGTTTCCAAACAGATACCAACCATTATTATACGCACACTAAACTATACGTATGAGCCATAAAAAAGTTTAATTAGTGCTTTAAAAGGGACAGACTAATAATGCCTATAATTTTTCTCTGCTAGTGTATTTAATTAAATTATTGAAAAAGCTAAAAGAATTGACATTAATATATTCCTTGGCAGTAATTAATTTTTCTGAGTTGGTCAATTTATTATTAATACACTCTTTTTGTTCTCCATTGATGTTCTCATTATCATCGCTTGATATAGTGGTAAATATAATTATTGTTCATAGCGATTTAATTATCAAATATGTTACCGAATAAAATAATCCAATTTGAGCGGAGTTGAAGAATAAAGCTGATAACGTCGGGCGAACGAGCCGACGTAATTCTAATATGCGATAAAAATTCATTCATAAAGCATTCGATTATTTCGGTTTTTCGTTAAAATTTTATCCGCATTTCATATCGAGCTAACGACGAAAATATTGCCCTCGCGAGCATATACTTACCACTATATAATTTCACGAGTCATTTTTTCGGTTAGCGATGAGCAAAAGCGAGACAGAGACGGAGAAAAACTCGGAAAGAAACGAGTGCTGTAGGCCGATAAAAAATTTGATAACATCGAGAGCGCGTTCGTTTGCTTCCTCGAAAAACACTCGAGAAATATTTCTGCGTGCGCGAGTTGTGGAGCCGCAGCATTTTTGGCTAAAGGGGAAAAAACGAGGCAGGCGCCGATTTACGATCCTCCGGCGCCTTTATCAATTTCTTTGGAAGGGAATTTCTCATATTTATTTTTACCAACTCAAGAGCATTCTTTTGACGTGCTTTATTTTTATCAATTTGACAAATATCAGCGATATCTCTTGTCTTTGACCAGCAAACACGATAAATCGCGTCCGCAAATATTATAATTTCCAAGATTCGGAAATACGCTGGCACTTCCCCGACCCTTGACAATTGTATCACGCTAAACTGTATTTAAGAAA